AGAGACAACCTGCATTAGTATTCAGGACCATCCGGTCTTTACACTGTAACTTATGTATCTATATTGATTATGACATCCTTTGGATTTTAACATTTTGAAAACAAACATTTTTAATCAAAATGATCTTTTGTACTGGGATTTTCCGCATATAAATAAATGATTTTAAAAGCATATAGAAAAGTTTTAGTTGGTTCTGAAAATTTGAGGATGTCACATTCTCGTCCATAGTTCAGTTATAGCCTCATGATAGACCCCAAAGTGCACTATAAAAGATGTCGTATAAAATAGAAGTGCTTATTTATACGTAGTTGGAATGCTCGTATGAGATGAAATAGGAATGTATTGAATAGGATCATTTTGCTCGATAGATAAGTATCAGTTAACTAATTAAGTGATTAAAACTTAATAATGTTATGCCATGACTTTTATTTTTTATAAACTTATATTTAATAAGTTATCGATATAAAGAACACCCTCGTTGTTAATGAGATTTAAATGATGTTATCCCTCGCGTAGAATGCAAATAGGATTTATACGTAGTGAATACTCATATTAGTAGAACTAGGACTGCATGTAGCTTGAATATCTGCACGATGATTTGTTAGTATCAACATATTAATTAAGTACGAAAAATGCTTAATGACATGAACTATTATTGTTTAATAACTTAAACATAATAAGTTATATGGCATAAACAATACACATAATCATTAAAGCAAAAACGAAAGGAATAATTCAATTAGAGAAGCAACATAGTATCAAGATATATAAGACAAACACTGTAGCCGCAAAATGTAGCCGCAAAATATAGCAAAAATAGTACTTAATCCATAACAACCAAAATACCATAACCAAAGACGCCTAGACCAATAATATTCACAACCTAAGATCCTACCTCACCTCCACCACTTGTGGAAGCATCACCACCGGTATGATATGTCACCAAATCCCACAACTGATTGAATAAACTTAAAAGGAAACCTAATTTAGATAGGTTGTCGTTGCAAAAAAAATAAGCAAAGGCATTCTCCATCCTTTGTAGTCGAGTGGGATCGTATGACGGAATATCTACCTCATTAAGCCCTAACGAATACTTGTTCATCATCTCACATTCCTGCCTTTTTCCGAAATCAATACATATCGATTGAAGCAACTACTTGGCATCATAAAAAGATGAATCGACAAAAAATTTATCCACTATCTTACTGACACCCTCATACAATATTCACCCATATCCTCTTTCAACCTCCTAATTTGCTCAGGTGCACCAGTCAAAATAGACTGCAGGTCGGCGTTCTTCAAAACAGATGCTCCAAGGTCACTCTTCAATTTTTACACGTCAAAGCTCAAGCATAGCAATCTTGTCAACATGAATGACCTTTTCCAACTCCAGTGAGGCTACCTTACCCTTGCAAAAAAGCGATTTCTTCCTCCAAACATAGCCGATCAGCCAACTTACTCTCTAAAATCTCTTTCTCCTCTTATAGCAATCTCACTTCACCCCTCACACTCTCCAGCTCGGACTCTAGAACCATACCCACACTGGATCTCGACCCTTCCAACTCGGTAACCCTCTTTGACATTTCAACATATCGATCACAAAACAGTTGAACATTAGAGGAAAGACTCGTAGATGGAGTAATAAAAGGATTAACAAGCTCACTCACCTTTTTGAACTCATCGCGCAAATCACGATTCTCCTGATGCAAGTCCTCATTCTCATCACACCATGACATGATCTCACTCCTGAAAGTGAAGTTTTCAACAAGGTTAACCTTAAACATATCTCGTACATCTTCCCCTATCTCTTCGCTAAACCAAGCTTAGTCCTAGGATAATCAAAATTATCAAAAGAGGACATAGTAGCTTTGGGATCCAATAAGGATTGATTATGTCAATATTCCTAATCAGGAATATAGGTAGGCCTAGAAGGATGGGGAACGTCAGTATCACAAGGAGGGAAAACAACAATAAGTTATTCAATATATGTTGTGGGCAGAGTAACACTAAGACTACTCGTGAAATATCGGAAGGCGGTCGGATCCAAAGAATGAGATTGTTTTATAGCCCTACTACCACTACTGCCCTCCCCGCCAGATAACGTTGCTGCAAAAGTAGCAGAAGCAACCGCCCCTCTATCTCTCTTCCGAGGAACCAAACCGATATTTGCACCCTTTCCCTCATCATCACCATCACTTACAACATTCCTAGAAACACTATGCCCATAGGTTTGTATAGGAGCACCAACATCAGTATTATACTTCATCTAATTCACTACCCTTATCCTTGTCATTGATCATACTACCATCTAACAGTGGAACTCTAAAATCATTAGATCCTATGTATCTAGTACAAATCCGTCCCTCCAGAAAGTTAGAAAAAAGAAAGGGAGCACAACTCCCACCTGACAACAAAAGCAACAAAACAACGATTAAAAAATAACAATAATGCACGAAAGCAAATAAACAAGAATTGGAGCAGAGAAAGAGGACCTGGTTCTCGAACATAAAGAGCATGCATAGTGCCCATACAGATCCAGTGAAGGCTCATATCAACTTGCCCTAGCACTGCTTCCGGAAACATCTTGATTGACACATTCAATCGATAAATCTTGGAAATATCTTGTGCAAGATCAGGGGTTTTATATAATTTTTTTTATCAATAATGGTACTAGGAAAATGGAATACATTAAGATAAGAAATTTGGGAGGCACTGAGTCAAATGAACTCATTCTTCCATATCTTAATAGACCCAAGAAGACCTTCTATAAGTTCTTCCCTCGATAATGAAAGTAGGACCATTCACCACTAATACAAATTCAAAAGAAGTATTGAAACAGGGAAATGTTGGGCATAAATAGGGAAGCATGGCATAAAAACTCAAAGAAAACTCTCTTGGATATGGAGTTAGGTTTGAGCTGAAACATATGAATCCTATCGCCTTATTCCCGAGTTATACTTAAGGAGGGATATGGATGGATATGGAGAGAAAGTGAGTGATGTCGAAGGCAAATCGTGTTCCCGAGTTTCATTAATGGAAGGAAAGTGAGGGGAAGGAAAGGATTTCGGAGCCATATTTTCCTTCCAAAATTTCTCTCAAATTGGGCGGATTTGGGAAGAAAGTGAGGGGAAGGAAAATCTGTAAGTTTTATTTTCTTTTTCCTCCTAACTCAGGAACACAAAAACTTAAAATTTTCCTTTCATTTCCTTTCATTTCGTTCGAACTCGGGAACACTGAATAAATAAAATTTTCCTTCCCCTCCCTTTCTTTCTGTCAATATTTTACTTCCCTTTCCTTTATTGAATTTACAAAAAAAACTCGGGAACAAGGCGTATAGGCTTCAATAATTTTCCTCAAAAAGGGTGATGGGGGAACCCTTAAACCAACTTCAAAGTAGTAGAGGTTGAAGCCAGTCTTACCAGAAGGAGGATGGTTAATCCTAACGGTCACACTGGGGATTGAAGCACTGTATTTATTGATAAGATGGTACTTCTCTGAAATTTGGGTCAAATGATCAAGAGTAACAGTCGATGACAGCACATGCATAAATGAGTGAGACATACTTTCTGGTGAAGATGAAGTGATGATAACAAAAAGAATAACTGAAAAAGTAGTGGGGAGAAGGAACAACTGAAGGAACAAGCATTTATAAGGGTAAAATGAGGCGAAAAAATCAACCGCTTATAAACGGTTATGCAGATACTATAGCGCGTGTAAGGAACGCCAGATGCTTCAATACCAAGGCCTAAAAGCACATTTAAGCCCAATCATTAAAAATGTTTTAGCAACTGCCTTTAACAATTAGGATGGGTGCTTAATGGTGTATGGGGATAAGCCCATACACAAAGATGATACACGCCTTCAAAAGCAGCTCAACGCAAATAAAAAGCCCAAAGGTTACAAAACCGACAATCCCTAGCAAAAGCAAGCCGGATAGCAATATATTATAACAACAAATACGACTGTACGAATCCTCAAGCAACATCCTAGAAAACACGGAAAATGCAACAGTATTATATTGAAGGGTACTACCCTTACAACCTGTGGACACTCGCATTACCCATATAAAGAAACAAGAACCCTGACCATCTCATCAGTATATAAGAACCTCGATGCAAATCGGTAAAGCAACAACACTCTCACTCTAAGCAATTTTACTTTACTTCCATCAGACATCCAACTTAGGCAACAGAGAGCAATACCGGAGTCCATCTCTCGGTATCACTTTGTAACCTAGTCTATGTCTATCTTTGCAATGTGTCATCTGTACTAGAAGAGGATTGTCTCGATTAATTACCAGGCATCCAGATAGCTACGTAGCAACAATGGCAATTGTTTGGAAGTTTGATCCCATGAAAAATTTATTTATCGCAAGCCCCTTTAAAAGCAACTTTTAGGCCTTATATTGCGATTACGAGAATGAAAGGTGAAAGTGGGTCGCCATGTCTTACGCCCTTCATAATTGGAAAATTCAATGGCGGGGAAGCCGTTTACAAGGACCCAAACACGAGATGACATAAGACCATTGTTAATCCAAGTTCTCCATCTCACACCGAATCACATTTGTTCCATAACATAATCAAGGTAACTCAACTGATAGAATTGAATACTTTTTCAAAAATCAACTTTGAACAAGAATAATTTTTTCTTCAAATGTTTATTTGTTTTTGAGCTGCATGACACCTAATTAATGACTGAAACTTTTGGGATTTATACCTGAAACATTTCATTTTGAAGTATTTAAATCTAAAAGGGTAGCCCATACCACCTCGGTGGTAGTTATATATGTCTTTCTATCTTCTTAATTTTTAATAAGACCTCAACCTAAATATAATATTGAATGGCATACATGTCACGGTTTTATTTGTTTTTTCTTCTAATTTGTTATAGCTAGTATGATAATGACAAGTATATCATTTATACGGCCAAATTATAGTTTAGACCAACATACCATTACCAAATGAGAAATGAGAATAACACAAAAAAGGAATTTAAGATTAAGATGTACAAAAATAACTTAAAAGGCTCATAACAAAATTACATATGTAAAATGCTTGTTAAAAGCTAATGCCTTGAGAACTAGCTACCTAAAGAACCCCAACCCACCCCCAAAGAAACACTATAGTCATCTGTCCCAAAGTACCCTCAACTAGGTTCCACTTTGGGCTCCTCTTTCCTGATCTGGAAGGATACCATATCTTGAAGAAGACCTTGATCTCTATGCAAAGAAGATGACATAGAAGGAGGGCAAGATTGTCTTTCTTGAAGGTAATGTGAGTATGATGATGGGGTGGTGGTGTTGTTAAAGCTTAAAGAATTTGTTTGGTTGTGGAAGAATGGTCGTAACGGTTGTTGGTAGTGAAATTGTGGTAAAATATATGAAGAACCACCACCACCACCAAGACCGCCATAAGTGGCAGTTTCTGGTAACATTCCTCGAGGTGTCACTGGGCAGGGGTGTATATGAATACCTTCATAAGTTGTAACAACGACCGCTGGATCCTCTGTCAATCTTTCAACTCTCTTCTTCACTCCACATGATGCACTAGTGCACCGATAGTAACTCCTGTATTCAAATAAGTTGCCACAGTTACTTTCGTATTAATTTGACACATAACAGATACAAATATCCAGAAAATTATCCTTAGATGCATGTTTGTATGGTGTAAAATTAAAGTATAATACATAAACTTTTGTTATTTACATCCCTCAACTAAATTTGGTGCCATAATACATATCTTCATTGAAAAAATCCAAATCTGTCAATTTATGTTTGTAGATTTTATGTATATTTATAACTCATAAATATGTAAGAGTTTTTCTACTTAAATGTAAGTATAAAGATGAAGAGGATGAACTACTGTGCAGAAAGAAAACAATAGCTGTTCGCATTCATATATATCTTGATTGAAATGATGATTTTGTAATAAAAATAGTTAATAGTATTATTTTGGTATATATATCATATGTATGGATAACTGGTGGAGATGGGGTGTACCTAGGAAACGGGCTGTTTTTCACAGCTTTCTGACCGTACTTTCTCCATCGAAAGCCATCATCCAAGTGATCAACTTCAGTCTTCGTCATGAACGCAAATCTCGGTCCCTTTTGTTTTTTTTGGTTTTTCTTTTTGGGTTTCAACCTACACAGATAATACCCACATCTCAGTTTATACAATTATAAAATTAATTCATTTCTATAAAACAAAAACACTTACAACAATTCCGGAAATCATAAGGATTCAAGTTATATATTTTTTAACTAGAAAAATGATAAAAGAATAAAAACAAATCCATGTTTCGTGCACAAATTGTGTGAATGCGTGTGAACAGGCATTTTTAGTTAAAGAATTTTTATATAAAAGATCTTTAAAAACACACACAGTGAAAACACTGCATGTATGTGTAAATAATAAACAAAGAAAAGAACTTTTTAATCACAAATTCACTTATTCACCTAATCTGTATTGAAAGATTACATCAAAGCATGTGTGTGCGTAATTTTATCTGAACAGATGCACGGCTACAATAATTTCGTTGAAACAATGATGGAGGTTTGAACCAAAGTTTCAATTGTTTAATTTTCAGAAAAAAAAAAATTCAGCAGAACACAGAAAACCTTCAACTGTGTGTGTGTGTGAAAGTAGAAGAAAAACTAAAAAGAGATTCTTTTCTTACTGTTTATTAGCATTCTTTTCTTGAGCATCATCTGATCTTGTGTTGTTTTCTTGATCAACATCATTAACAGGTTCGTTTGAAGAAGATGATAAAGATGACGAATTTGTTGGAGGAGTATTAACCACCTCTGATGTCTCCAGCATCGTGGAAGCTTGTGGTGCTGGCTTTACCATCAAAGTCTGTGGCGGTGTCGGCTGCTGAAGCATATCAAAAAGAGAAGCACCACCGTAGTCATGAAAGGCCAACATGTCCAGGCCGTACCCTTGAGGAGTGTCAAAGAAACCTCCGCCTCCACCACCGCAGACTGACGGAATTTGATCCAAAGATGCTAAATTTGCCATCAACTTTCAATTATCGGTGTTGATTTTTAGCTTCTGTTGTCCTTAAACTCATCAAAGGCATGATTTCTTCATTTGTAGGCACTCCAGAGAGAGAGAGAGAGAGAGAGAGAGAGAGAGAGAGATTTAAGTTTATAGTTTGAAGAGGCTTTCTGCACACACACAAACACGCATATATATATATGATATATATATATATATATTATATATATATATATATATATATATATATATATATATATTTCAAACTTTGCTTGAATACCATTTTATACCCCTTAAGTCCTTAGTAAAGTGAATTGACCCCTTGGTTGAAAATATTTTGAAACTCATTAGCCTAAAACATTCGATCCACACATATATAGGAGAGTTGCACAAGCCAATTATTGTTGAATAACAAGAAATTTACAAGTTGATTACATTTTTTTGTTACCAAAGCTTGTAGTCAATTGATACAAGTATTTGTAGATAGCTGTTATCATCAGCCAAAATGTGAGGGTTATATAATATCATTGGAGACAAAATCAGTAGTTTAGAAGTAGTATAGAGAGTTTGTTTGACTTCATAATAAAATAAAATTATTGAAATTTTTACTTATGATTTTCCACTTAAAGTTTTAATTTTTATTAAAGTTACAGTAACTATTAGTCTTTTATATATATATATATATATATATATATATATATATATATTTGTTTCAAGATACTTATGTATGTGTATATATGTAAATGAAATCTATTCTGTACATACAAAAAAAGTAAGAGTCAACGATCTGACGTATAAAAGTTAAAGTTGATTTCAGCGGTGAAGTGCATATTCTTTTACAACTGATTCAATTCATCATTCATTTCAATATCGTAACCGACCAATATTGTTCGGATTTAGTACATTACTAAATTTTAAATGTGTCAAAGTCAAAATAAAATTAAATCGATCCAACAACATATTTTTAGTTGACAGATAAATGAATGAGTTCATTATATGAGTCGGTAATTATTATCTTTTTTATAAAAGATATATATCATCGAAAATTGCAAATAGAATATTGAGAGGTTGCACCACCAAAACCTTTTAAAATGAATGATAATAAAAAAATTTAATTTTTTATTTAATTGAAAATTTTGAAATAATTATGGGTCCATTGTGTAAATTGGTATCTTTTGTGAAGAACAAGTGCAAATATATTATTCCATCAAAGGTGCACTATTGTAACATCTAAGGAATGCACTGCAGAAAACCAATTTTTTTCTAAAACTTACAAAAAAAACTTGTGAATTTCCATGATATATACTTATGTAATTAACTGTTAACCTGGCAAGCATAAACGACCTTTGATCATCAACAAGTATTATACAAATTTTTGTTATTAGAGACTCTCTCTAACTCTAAGCTACTATGACTACCTTAATTAATTTACAAAGATTATAACTAGTGACAAAAACAATCGGTAAACGCTTCATTTTAAAAAAATATCTCCAAAAACACATATAGTACCTACATTAGGCCTAGTGGGTATGGGAAGTTGCATCTTTCTAAAAGGTTAAGGGTTCCGAGTTTTATTTGCGATATAAATGGATTTAAAAAGTAATTTAAGACTAGAATTGTATGAATTTAGAATTATATGAGTTTGTTGTTCTAAAAAATACGTATATACATAAGTTGATGTTGAGTCATAACATATATACAATTCTTTTATTATTTTATAACATACTATAGAAATGTGTTTACACAAAGAAAGTAATATTTTATAAGTTGAAATATATATATATATCTATATATATATATATTAATATATATATATATAATATATATATATATATCTATATATATCTATATATATATCTATATTGAAATGAAATTCAAAATGGGAAGGAGGGTAATGCCGTTTGATGCTTGGGTTTGACCGGATGTCTGTGGGAAGTCGCAATAAATGGAGGCTTGTAGTCGACGCATTCATACCCGGCTGTTGACCGGGAACCGGCTTTGTGTAAACGGGTTTCCGGTTTCACGTGGTAAACGGAAAGTTATACAAGATTAGGTACGTGTGCATAAAAATATCCTTTTTTTTTTTTTTTTTTTTTTTTTTTTTTTTTTTAATTTCATTTATTTTAATTTATAAATAGACAAAATTTCACAATTGGTCCTTGTGGTTTACAAAATATCGCACTTTGAGGACTTCCTAGCAAAAAGTCCCGCGACTGGTCCCTGTGGTTTGTAAAATTACATTAAAGGTCCTCCTGCCGTTAAATCTAATTTTTCAGCTGTTAGATTTTAATGGAAAAGACTATTTTGCCCTTGTACCAAATTGCAATACACTACAAACCTCAAGGACCATTCGTGTATTTTATAAATTTGAAATTTATATATCTATATATATAATATTATATTATATATATATATAATATCTATATATATATAAGATATATATATATATATATATTTTCAACACTTGATAATTTTTTTTTATCTTTTTGACATTTTATTTTCTATTTTCTATTTTATAATTTTAGTTATTTATGGTTTTTTATGTTTTTTATTTATTTTGATCAAGTAAATAAACTTAAGTTCGATAAACCATATCGAAACCTTTTTTTTTCTAATTATGAAATGAAACGTTAATGTTTTTTTTTTAATTTTTTGTTGTTACGGTTTTATTTATTTATTTATTTATTTATTTTTTACTTTGATGTTCTATAGTTAATATCGTTAGCAACTTTATGTTTGCATTTATCATTATCATTATTTCACCTTTTGTTCTTTTTTTTTATATATATTTATTTTGATTCAAGTAATGAAAAATAGAAAAATAAAAATACAAAAACTCAAACCCCAAAGTTGTAAAATACTTTAATATATTAATATATTTTACACTTTTCATATTTTTTGGTTTTTTTCGCAGTTTTTTATTAATTTTGGTTAATGGTTTTCGTAACTTTTTTTTTATTTTGATTTGTGAAAATAAAAAAGTTATGTTTATTTTCTTTATTTATATTTGTAAATATAACTATTTTATTTACGGGAATCAAAATAAAAAAGTTACAAAAATCATAAATAACCAAAATTATAAAAAACCAAAAAAACTCAAACACCAAAATTGTAATATATACTAATATATTCATACATTTTACACTTTTTGGAAAATGTCAAAAAAAATTATCAAGTTGATGAAAAATAAAACGAAACAACGAAAAAACTAAAAATTGAAAATAATTAAAAAAATAAAAATAGGAAATTATTAAAAAGTAATATGAAAAAAAATAAAAAAAAATAATACTAAAAAATTTAAAAAAATACGAAAAACCAAAAAAAGATGAAAATATAAAATGTATTAATATATTAGAGTATATTAGGATTTGGTGTTTGAGTTTTTGTTTTTTGTTTTTCTATTTTTCATTACTTGAATCAAAATAAATAAAAACAATAAAAGAATAATAAATAATTAAAATTATAACAAATATAGAAAACAAAATGTCAAATAATGATAATGATAAATGCAAACTTAAAGTTGCTAACAATATTAACTATGGAGCATCCAAAAAAACATGAACAGTAAAAACATAAAATAAAAAAAAAATAAAAAAAACATTAACGCTTCAATTCACAAATAAGAAAAATTAAAGAAAAAATAATTTCGACATGGTTTATCGAATTTAAGTTTATTACTTGATTCAAAATAAATAAAAATATAACAAAAAACCATAAATAACTAAAACTATAAAATAAAAATAGAAAACAAAATGTCAAAAAGAAAAAAAAAATTATCAGATTGTTGAAATTATATATATACATATATATAAAATTTTATATTAAATTATATAAATACAAAATGCGAAATTTATAATTTATATATATATTATATATATATATATATTATATATATATATATAATATATATATATATATACATAAAAATTTCAAATTTATAAAATTACACGAATGGTCCTTGAGGTTTGTAGTGTATTGCAATATTGGTAGAAGGACAAAATAGTCTTTTCCATTAAAATCTAACTGCTGAAAAGTTAGATTTAACGGCAGGAAGACCTTTCATGTAATTTTACAAACCACAGGGATCAGTCGCATGACTATTTGCTAGGAAGTCCTCAAAGTGCGATATTCTGTAAACCATAGGGACCAATTGTGAAATTTTGTCTTATAAATATAATAAATCCGTTTCTCGCGGTTTCAACTTTTGAACCAAATTACTTTCTTGGATCGCAAGCGAAAAAGTTTTTGTCGCCCTTTATAAAAAGAATTAAAGAAAATCTTCTCAGATTATTTTAGATTTACCAAAAAGTAGTTTTAATATTTTCTTATCATTTTAAGTATTCTGGTTTATTGTCGTAAATTGTATTGGATTATGTAAAATTACTTTGAAAAGCCTTTCACGCGACTTAACTTTACACGATGGAGTATAATTTTATGAGAAAAATTGCAAATTTAGCAAAATACACTAATTATTTTGTGAAAAATAGGCAAAAAAACCCAAATTACAAAAATAGCCATAAAATCGCAGATGGATTAAACCCATCTGCGATTTTGTCATTCCATCTGCGAACGTACAAGTGTCTAAAGCACATATGTGCTTTAGGCACTTGTACGTTCGCAGATGGAAAAGTCTATCTGTGATTTTGTGAAGTTCATCCTCGATTTCGTGGGATCTAGTATAAAAACGTTTTTTTTTTCTTCGTTCACTCTCTTTCTTGGAGAAACTCTTTTTTTTCTCTGCGATTTCCTTAGAGCTATCATGAACGATATCATGGACGATTTCCTTAGAGATGTTTTAAACAAATTTTCCAAAAAAATAACAACAAAAATGATAATTTTTTGAAAAGTTTATATATAATAAGGTTGTTTTGTAGTCAAACCTATCGATTTTGTAGTCAAAATAAAAAAAAATTCACAAAATTGCAGGTCAAAAGGAGAGGAAATCGCAGATGGACATAGTCCATCTGCGATTTTAGGCTGAAAAGGGGGTATATATATACAGCGAAAAAAAAACCCAACTACGAACGTACAAGTGGCGAAAGCACGTCTGTGCTTTTGCCACTTGTACGTTCGCAGATGGCATGGCGAAATCGCAGATGGATTATACCCATCTGCGATTTTAGTGGCTAAAAATGCA